ATTTGCAGTGATGTTTTAAAATTGTAGAATTTGCTGCCTTTCCATTATCATCTGCACTAAGAACAATGTATTTTGAAAATAAACAAACAAAAAAAAAGGACCATTAAGCCAAAACTAGATAAAAAAAAAAAAAAAAGAAAAACGAAAGTGACACTTAGCAACAAGAATGCATTAGAAGATGAAGCGGAACAAGGTATCTGGGGAAATCTTATGGAATTTGTGTAGATAGGAAAAAAAAAAAGCAAAAGCACAAAAAATTAGCAATGATTTTGTAATTTTATTCTTGCTTTTTTTTCTTTTTACTTTCTTCTTCTTCTTCTTTCTTCACTTCTTTATTATTTTCAGTTGCATTTGTTGTTTTTTCAATGATTTTTTAGCACCATGTTGCTGCAGTTTTTTCTCCAACTTTTCTATAAGCTTCACATGAAATAAATAGAAACGATGTGAACTAAATTAAAGCCACTAACTTGTCACCGTCTGAACGGTTAATGGAACGCGACACCAACGGCGATGGTCCACTGGCTTCACACTTTTTCGTCGAAAACTCTGAAATTAACTCAAAAATATAGTTAAAGTCTTGTTCATTTTCTTGCAGTTTTTGTGGTTGTTTGGAAAAACAAAAGAAAGACAAAAAAATGAGGCAAAATAAGTTATAAAGAAAGAAAGATAAATTCATTGTCGACTTAATATCATTAATGACTAATACTGTGTTCTGCTGATAGCTCGTCAGCTAAACCTATCGTTTTTGCTCACCCAACCCATTCTTTTTTTCACTTCTATTCTCGGAGAAAACACTGATCTATAAAGCATTTTTTAAAGAAGGTCAAAAAATTTCAGCTGTTTCAATATACAACTTTAATTGAAGTTCTTTGCTTTTTTTTCTTTTTTATTTTTTCATTTATTCAGTAGCTAGAAACGGCTTTTGAAGCATTTTTTTTTCGCGACAGTATATAGCGAGTGAGAATAAAAGAAAGAGAAAAACAGAAAGATAAAGTTGATTTTCGGCTTCTTATTTTTTCTCGGTTTCATCTCTTCCACCCTCACATATCAGTATGTCGGTTAATTGGAAAAAGTGGAAAAAAGGACGGTGAACAAGATATTGTTATCCTGAAGTTCAAGTTCTCTGGTTTTTTCTTCCTTTTTTTTTGGAGGGGTGGGGGGGGGAGGGAGGGGTAACTGAATAAGTTTAATAAAAGCCAAAAGAAAGCATTAATAATGTAATAATGTAAAAAAAATTTTTTTTTGTTGAAAGTATTTTTTTTATTATATAACTTTTCTTTTCATCTTTTGATTTGAAAAGAAAAAACTGAAAACGATTATCGCTTAATCGTTTTCTTTTTTTAACTCAAAATTTCTTTTCCTCGTTTTTTTTTTCTTTTTTTTTTCGCTTTTTTTTCGTTATTTTTCTTCTAAGATTTTTTTTTTCTTTAAGAATGAAATCTATTGAAATAAAGATGAGACTTAATGCAAAAGTAAGAAAAATCTTGCTTAAAAAAAAAACTTGATTTGCTTATATCGCTGTCACCAACAGCAGCACCACCACCTGCCATCGTCCCCCTTAACTCACCTACAACAGAAGACTAAATGCAGATCACAGAAGAACAAAAGAGTCATCAGACTGATCTCCCGCAGATGTACGTTGGTAACTGCGGAACTTATGCCGAATTAAGCTGACTACGAAGAAGTGGAGAATTAAAGTGAAAGTGGAAGGGAGGAGGGTGAGAGCGGAAAAGGAGAAAAAAAAAAACTAATATTGTCACAACAATACGAAAAACGAAGAAAAAAAAGAGCCGAAATAAATGAGGTGAAAAAAGTTTCGAGTATTTCGAACTACCAACTTGTCCTCCACCCTCCAACTTTTTATTTTTTTCTTACATTGAATAAAAAATCAACGATGGCCAAAAATAACACAATAAGCATATGAAAAATGTTGATTTAAATTTATCAAAATGAAAAATTACTTATATATAAGTTTTTTGTTTTGTTATTTGTTTCTTTGTTTAATTGTTTTTTTTTTTCTAGTACTTCTCTTATAAATTGAAGAGCTATAAGAAACGAAACGATTGAAAATAAAAAAGAAAAGAATTAACGATTAGGGCAAATCTTCATTGTCTCTTCTACTACTTCTTCTTCTTCTTTTTTTCCACTTTTTTCCCCACTTTTTTTGTCTTTTTGATGAATACAATCTGAGAATGTTGGAGAGAGAAAAACAAAAAAAAAAAAAAAAGG